CAGGGTACATCTTCTGACTTTCAGAAACACCAAATTTCATACATAATTTGAGGTTGAGACAAATCCATCTCTTACACATACATGAAGCAAGATCATTAATTTTGCTATCTTGCTTCTCTGCAACTTTGTTTCCTTTCCTTCTTTATTTTAGCTGCTTCTTCCCTTTCCATCCATTAATTAGTTTCTAGGATGATCCTGTTTCATGGGTTTGCCTCTAAAATCTGTTGGTTCTTTTTCCAAACTCATGTGAGAATTGAGGTAATGGTGGAAAGTAATACCCTTTATCACCTATTTCTTAGTCACTATTTACTTAAACGGGTTAAACTCTTAACCCCCTGCTTACGGCACCTTAATTTCAACGTTTGATTAATAAGAAGTTATCAACTATCATAGCCTTTTGTCTATTTTCTTTGTTAGGATCGACTTTAATCACAATTACGTTTGTCTCCATCAACTGCCTTTCCTCCTAAAAAAAAATTATGTCAGTCTCCATCAGCATTCATTTTTTTCAGAAAAGTTCTGAGTTTAGAAGTTTTGTCATTTTTAAAGCCTTGGATTTCATCTAATTGTAAACAGGATCCTGTTTTTTTTAGGGTACAAATTAAGTATATATTAATTATATTTTTTTTACAATTAATTTGCATAGAAAAATAGAAATGGACTTTAAATTTATCAATTATCAAATTAAAATCATCCACATGTGACTTCGCGCGTTAACAATTAGAAAAACCCATAAATACAATAATTTGGTTGGGAGGTACTTATTTAAAAAAATAAACTGCTTACCTAATTCTTGCTTTTCACTCTATTTGGATTGAGGAAGTTGGAGGGAAAAGAGAGGAGAATAAGGGGGAGAGATCACATTTTTCTATTTGGATAAATAATTTTAATGGAGTTCAATCTTTTCGATTTGGAGGGATTGAGACGGATTATATTATTTAATTTATTTTTGTTTTTAGCTTTTCTTAAATAAATATATATAAACATTTTATTTCAATTATTTATTTAATTTAAAAATTTTAGAAATTTTATTCTTCTTTATTTTTTTTATTAAATTATTTAATTAAATAAAAATATTATCCTTTTCCCTTCTTCATTTTTGTCTATTCAAACAAAACTAATTTTAACCGTTTCCTTTCCTTTACTGATCTTTATCCTAAGATAGGCTAAATTTTTAATAGCATGCAGAATTGATGCACATGTTGATTTGTTGACTTTTCATGGCATTGAATTTACTATAAAGTTTCCATGCATCAAAAACAATGGACATAGTTTACTACTTGTCTTCATGGTTTGCCCCTTCAATGATTTGGAGGTAACAAATCCTACTGCATCTTAAGATTCCTACAACACCTTCATAACTCATCCTCTGCACCCCACTGGGAGCATTGTCAACTATTTTGATGCAAAGATAGATGAAAAGGCATGTTTTGGTAGAATTCACAA